AGAAAAGGAGGGCTAACTAGGAAAACACCTACACTAACTTTGAAACCCTAAGATCTACACATCTACACAACTCCAGGTTGGTCCAAAAACAAGAGACTTTCCTACTGTCATACCAGTGTGGCTCGTCTCCAAAAGGGTAGAACCAACCACAGAAACACAAGGGACATGGCCAACCGACAAACTCCAACACCACCTCCACACAAACAAGCTACAGAGCAGTCCCAGAATAACCTAAAGGATAGTGCTCAAGATAGATTAAAAGCATGCCTGGTAAACCTGCCCGTCCCCGCAGCCCGTTCCGCCCCGAGCGCCTCAGGAGGCCGGGCCGAGGCTCCGGCCCGCGCAGGGAGGCCTCACGGGCCCACCTCCCCTGGGCCCCCAAACGACCGGCGCCGCCAAGCCGGGAGCAAAGCTGCGGCTCCCACCCAAAGCGCCGGCCTGGGAGCGGCCCACGTCCGCGCGGCCCTGAGAGCGCCGGCCTGGGAGGCGGCCCTGAGAGCGCCGGCCTGGGAGCGGCCCACGTCCGCGCGGCCCTGAGAGCGCCGGCCTGGGAGCGGCCCCACGTCCCCGGGCCCCGAGAGCGCCGGCCTGGGAGCGGCCCCACGTCCGCGCGGCCCTGAGAGCGCCGGCCGGGAGGCGGCCCCACGTCCCCGGGCCCTGAGGAGCACCGGCCTGGGAGCGGCCCCACTTCCGCGCGGCCCCACGTCCCCGCGGCCAGCGCGCGTGCGCAGGCGACATCACCAGCTCCCACCGCGCCGCTGGCTCCGGCGGAAGCGCTTCTTCCCGCTCCAACATGAGCTCTTCCCACAATGCCCTGGGTGCCCTGCGCCAATGGGGAGCCAGGGCCGTGGCCGCGGGAGCCACGGACCCATCAGCGCGGCCCGGGGGCGGGACGGGGCCGAGCCCGCCCTATAAAGGCCGCCCGGCCCGCGGGCCTGGTTTCCCGGCGCGCCTTCCGCCCACCGTCCGGAGGACCCGAGGACGGCCCCGGGCACTTCCGCCGGGGCGGGGCGGGGCTGGCGTGACACCCAGTGCCGTGCAGAGCATGTCAGCCGAGGCCTTCACTCACACACTCACACACGCGATAGACGGATACACGATTGATGGAGACGGACGGACAGACAGACACCAAAACTAAAGAAGCCAGGGCTCACGTTGCAGAGCATTTGTCTTGAGCAGAAAGAGCACCGAGATCGTGAGTACAAGACGCAGGACAGCAAAAGAAAAAATACACACAGACACACACTATTACACACACAGAGACAGACACACAGACACACACACAGAATATTATACACACAGACTGTTATACACACACATACATTATACATTATACACATGCAGACACACGCACACATCCGTGTACGACAGACAGCGATGCGTCCTACGAAGTGTGGCTGAGATTGGCCAATCTATGGAATCCGCCTGGGCGCCCACTAACTTAGAAGCAGCTACAGAAAACACACAGTGAAGTATTATTCCGGCATAAAGAAGAATGAAGCTATGCTATCTGCAGGAAAGTTAATGGAAGAACAGAAAATCATGTTGAGCAAAATAAGTCAGTCCCATAAAGACAAACGACACATTTTCACTCAGATGTGGAAGTAGAGCTCAAATAATACAGTAATAATCACTATTAAACACGGTTATAAAAGAGGAACTGACTGGAAGGAGCCAGCAGAATGGGTGAAGGAGAAAGCAGGGAGATGGAGGTGAATATAATTTAAAACAGCATAAAGAAGCCCACTAGAAACAGAAAGACAGGGGAACATGATTGTTAGATGTGTTTGTGACAGTGTCACAGTGGAAACCATGGTACCATCAGTTGACAGGCCTGAAAGGGAAAAATAGCCTTAAAAACAAAGTTTCCGACTTGCCTAAGAAAGTTGTATCACAGACATTTGTAATGATTTGATTCCAGTCTCGTGTTGCAAACTTCACAGAGTCTACCATCTGTAACAGAAAAAAAAAAATTCTGGTTTACACAACATTGTGTGGATCTTAGAGCACTTTATAGAAAACTTTTAACTGTTTTGCCACTGTGGAGACGCATCTTACCCACCTTCACATACGGACATGGGAATTCATCTGGTCACGTACAATGTATGCAGGCAATTATAGCGTATATGCATCATGGAGATGTTCTGGCTTTGAAGGAAGGACACAAGGCTGTTGGGGACATGGGTGGTTGTGGAGATAGTGTGCTAAACAGCCAGAGCCACCCACAGAGGAGGAAAGGATGCACCCTCTCATGGAAAGCAGAGTATTGCTAACGCTGAATGACTAGAAACAGAGAAGGATTCTGACAACCAGGACTAGGCTGGCCAAGGACACAGAGGGAAGTGGTCAGCATGGTGCCCTAAAGACCTTCTGTGCTGTCACAGCACAGAGCAGTGGTCAGTACTGTGTTCTGCAGACCCTCCGTGCTGTAACAACACAGAGCAGTGGTCAGCACTGTGTCCTGCAGACTCTCCGTGCTGGGTCAGCACAGAGCAGTGGTCAGCACTGTGTCCTGCAGACCCTCTGTGCTGGGTCAGCAGTTCTTATTTAAGGTGGAATATTTCCTGTTTATACATTTGCACCACATTTTCTTCTTTGGTCCATCTCTTCCTAGGTAATCAGTAGTTTCCATATCCTGGTTAACGTGAATATGGTTTAAATTAATGAGAGTGTAGATATCGCTTTACAATTCTGATTCCATTTGCTTTGATTTATACCAGTGGTGGGATTTCTGGTTAAGTTTGGTGAGTTATAGTTGAGTTTTTTAAGGATCTTCTGCACCTTTTCCTGACTGCATTTCAGCTCATTATCTGACCACTGTGCCAGGGCTACAGTTTCCCCATGTCTGTGCCAATAATTGCTATTCTTGTGTCTTGCTATTCTTGTCTTCCATAGTCTCTTGAACTTCACTAGGCTAACTTGAACACAGTGCTGAAAAGTGTGCAGTATTACAGGAAGCCTTCAGTGCAGAGAATGTTTTTTTTGTTTTTTTTTTTTACTTTTTTTCACATTTCCATTAGCAACAATTAGTTGTAGAAGGGGATTTCATGGTCACAAGTCCATATATGCAGACACTGTGCCTTGATGAGACTCAGGCCCTGTACAACTCTTCCTCATGTCCCTTGCCAAACCAGTTCCAAGTAACTCTATTGGTCTATTTTCATATATGTTTACTATACTTTTTACAATAGTCATCTTTCTTTGCCCTTTTCATTTGCCTACACACACATTGGTACCCACATAATGCACATGCACTGGTTTACGTTCCAGTCATTCACTCTTTTAATGTGTGCTGCTTGTTAGGCAGGGTTGACCACCGTATTTCATCTGTGTTCACACAGCCTTTTAATCAGGCTGAAGACTTCAGTTACTCTCACTGTCTGCATCTCCCCGAGACCCTGTTATTCACAGCTTTTTGCTACCTTCATTCACAGTAGCAGTGTACCTCAGAAAAAGTTTTAATCTCATGTTCCCTAAGGAATATGGAAACAAAAGTCTTTCCAAACGTGGCCCAATTTAAATGTCTATCTGGAAGCATTCCAGCCTCAGCCATCTTTTCAGAGTATATATACCATGGCGAGATGAAGCCAAGGTTATCCACCTTGCTCACCACAGAAAGGAATTCTGCTGGTAAGTACATCACACACTGTGGGGTTTGCTTGTATACTTCCATCACAATGATGACTTTAAGAATAATGTTTAGTTTTAGTTATTTTTAACATTTTTTTCTGTAGTTCTATATCTATGTTACCATTCTCAATATGTTATGTAGTTGATGTATTTCCCAAAATAGTGAGGATATAACAAACTAATTCTCAGACTTGTAAATCCCATGTAGTAGTTTTATACATACCAACCAACATCCCACAACCTTACAAGTTTTCCATTTCAGAAATGAGGGAATGATTATTATCAGACAGCTAAACTAAGACAAAGAAGGAAATAGAACAGAAAGAAGAAATGAAGAAACAAGGAGGAGGAAATAATAAGGAAACATGGAAGGAAAGAAAAAGAAGCAAGGATAAGGAGAAAAGAAAGAACTAACTAAAAAAGAACTTTTCTGGTTTATAAATAGTACATGAGATCAATTTAAATAACATAGAGAAGAGTTCAAGTATGAATGAACATGGAGAATCTAAGCTATCTCCCATGGCTGACAGACATGAAAGTACCTGTCACGTGTTTTCCATATAAATTATGTGTAAGGGTGAGTCAATGAATAGTAACAAATGGCATCGCTCAGGGTGAGCAAACATTGCTTTTCAGAAATACACTCAGAGGGAAAATTCATAAACAAGTAAATATTACATTTATTTCTAGAAATAAGCTCTTTTGTAGCATAAACATTCTATCTTTAGTAATTTGATGAACAGTTTCTACAGTCTGTAGTAAACTTTGGTTCAATTCAGTCTGCTCAAGCATATCCCTTAGTAATAGATTTATTTCCCAGAATATGTGATAAGATTGGTCATGTATCATTAGATGATTGCCCTATTTTTCACACTGGTAAAAATAAAAAGGTTCCAAATATATTTTGTAGATATTCACTAAAGATATTTATTTCTGATTCTTTATGAAAGAGGTAGAAAGAAGCCTTAGAAAAATTGTTGATAGAGAAAATTTACTGGTGACATTTTAAATTTAACGACCCATTTTCACACCTTTATATATTGTTACATATAAAAATTACTGACTTGCCTTTCTATACTGAAATATTTCCCTTTCTTAGCAATGAGGAACAAAATCCAACCGCAAGAAACACTGGATTTGGGCTGTGGACAATACTCAAGTGGTAGAACACCATTTTAGCAAGCACAAAGCTCTGAGCACAAACCAATTATTGAAAAAAAGCCCACTTCTTTCAAATTCCAGGTTTACAGAAATGCTAGGGCTTCTGTTTGCTTTTGTTCCCACTCGTTGGACCTAAACATTAAGGACTTGTTTCTGTTCCAGCCCTTCTAGTTCACCACGGTCTCTTCCCACCTCAGAACACAGTGTGAGAAATGGAAGAAGCAAACCAGTCGGTGGTGTCTGAGTTTATTTTTCAGGGACTCTGTGACTCCGAGGAGCTGCAGATCTTCCTCCTACTGCCATTTGCTACACTCTACCTGCTGACTGTGGTGGGAAATCTCTTTGTGGTGCTGCTGATCATCGCTGACCACCATCTCCATTCGCCCATGTACTTCCTGTTAGCTAACCTCTCCTTTGTTGACTTCTGCCTCTCCTCAGTAACCACGCCTAAGCTGACCACAGACCTCCTGCAGGAGAACAAGACCATTTCCTTCGGGGGCTGCATGAGCCAGATCCTGGGTGTGCATTTCTTTGGAGGGGCTGAGATGACGATTCTCGTGACCATGGGTTATGACCGTTATGTGGCCATCTGCAAGCCGCTCCACTACTCCAGCATCATGGACAGGCAAAGGTGCATCTGGTTGGTTTGGATAGCGTGGATGATCGGCTTTTTGCATTCTCTAATTCAAATCATTATGATTTGGGGTCTGCCCTTCTGTGGACCCAGAGTAGTGGACAGCTTCTTCTGTGACATTCCCTTGGTCATGAAATTAGCCTGTACAGAAACGGACACTTTGAGAACAGTGATAAATGCTAATAGTGGCATTTATGCAACAACTTGCTTCATTCTCTTGATGATCTCCTACACTTACATAATATTAACTGTCCTCCTTCGTTCTAAAGACGGTGCCTCAAAAGCCCTCTCCACGTGTTCCTCCCACCTGGCTGTGGTGATTCTGTTCTTCGGACCCTGCATCTTCATCTACTTATGGGCAGTGAACATCACCTGGGTGGACAAGTTTCTTGCTGTGTTTTATACAATCATCACACCCGTCCTCAATCCGGCCATCTACACTCTGCGAAATAAAGAGATTAAGAATGCCATCAAGAGACTGTGGACCTGGCTCAAGTGACCCCGCATCTCCCTGTCAAAGGTCAGACTAACCTCAAATACTGTAATCAGAGAAAATGAGGGAGCCAAGAGTACTGATTAATCATCACATGAATCCAAGGCGCAATTGTCAGGTATCTTGTGTAACCAGAAAACCCACTAAGTGTACCTGATTTACCTGTTCTTTTCCCCTGTAAATTGACCTTCAGATGTAAATCTTTCATCTCTGTAAGCTGTAAGTGATCACAGACTTATGATTTGTATGCCTCCATTATAAAAATACGTTCAACTGTCAAATACTTACAATCTTACACCTTACTGAAAATAACTTTAAAAATACCCTTTTGAGTGTATCCAAACAGTATATGACAATAACAAAAACTGAAAGTAATTTCCAACAATTTATTAAAACCTTCCTGTGTTTCCAAAACTATCCAAAGCATTTTATTTAGATTATATATTGGTTACCAAGTCACTCTTAAATAATCAAGTTTTTTCCCATTTCTTTTTTTTTTTTTTCTGTTACTGGGGGTCAAACTACCTTGGGCGCTGACACTTAGTTTTTTTCTAATAGAAATGTGATCTATCACTTGAGCCACAGCTCTACTGGCTTTTTGCTGATTAAATGAATATGAGACTCACAGACCTCAGGTTGACTGCCTGGGCTGGCTTTGGAACACAATCTTCAAATATCACCTTCCTGAAGAGCTAGGATTATAGACAAGAACCATTGGGACCCAGCCAATTCCCATTCTGTATAAGCTATATCCTAGGTCTAACTTAGCTAGAGAGGATACTTGTATATTGAGTGGTCTACATCTGTGTAGAAAACAAAACAAGTGAACCAATTATGTTTTACCCATGTCCTCTACAACATAATTGTTGTAATTTTCAAATTCTAGCACGAGTGCTTATTTTTTATTTTCTTTTGGATTTGTTTGGCAAGGGAGTATTTGGTTTGCTTTGGGGTGTTATTGAAACAAAGTCTCAAGGCCCAGGGCCTTGAGTGTGGAATGTTCATGCTTCCAGGTTCTGGGATTCCAGGCTTGCACCACGATGCCTGGCTTCTTTGGTCTTTTACTGTTAGCCTTTCTGATTACGGAGACACAGGAACACTCTAGGAGGAAGGTGTTCTTGGCCTACTCCTGCTCCATCTTCCTATTCCCAGTACCCTCTAAGCTTTCTTCCTCACGTATCTCCCAAGGAATACCTTACACTTTTGTGCTAACTGTGGCTCCACCAAGTACCGGGACAAACACTGAAATCCACTTTGATTCCTGAGATGCATCAGATAAAAAATTTCTAACAGGAGAGACACGTTTAAAGGGAGTAGCCTTAGCCTGGCATGGATGGCTCACACCTGTCATCCTAGCAACTCAGGAGGCTGAGACCTGAGGATCCTGGTTCAAAGCCAGCCCAGGCAAGACAGTCTGTGAGATTCTCATCTCCAATGAACCACCAAAAAGCTAGAGGGGGAGCTGTGGCTCAAGTGGTAGATCACTGGCTTTGAGCAAAAAGTGCAGGGACAGCATCCAGGCCCTGAGTTAAGGCCCTAGGACTAGAACAAAAAAAGAGTAGACTAAAAAATTAACTAGTGGGCTGGGATGTAGCTCAGTGGCAAAGCGCTTGTCTAGCAAGTGCAGTGTCCCAGGTTCAATTCTCAGGACCAAGAAAGAAAAGACCAAAAAAAAAATACAGGTTAAAAAATTAACTATGCTGGGGCTGGGAAGGTGGCTCAGTGGTAGAGTGCTTGCCTTGCATGCATGAGGACCTCAGCACCACATAAGCAAAAAGAAAAAAGCCAGAAGTGGTGCTGTGGCTCAAGTGGTAGAGCGCTAGCCTTGAGCTGAAGATCTGAGGGAGGGACAGCACCCAGGCCCAGACCCCAGGCCCACAACCAACAAAAAAAAAATGAACTAGCCACACAAACAATAAGCTTTCCTTGGACATGAAGTGATCTTATCTCCTTATAATGATATACAAGTAAGTAAGGAATGGTAAGTGTGCAGAAGCCAATACTATAAAACTAGAAACAAAAACTAGATTGGTTTGAAACCATCGTGTACATTAGGAGGATGGGGATAACATTTATGCCTGGTGGTTCTTGTAGGCGATAGAGATGAAATTATAATAATATTTGAAAAGGAAATATTGGGCTTGAAACAAAGAATGTGAAATATGATACTTGGTAGAGAAAGGATGATACTCCCAGCTCCTCAATGTAGACAAACGCATGAAAACTTGAGGACAACCCTAGCAAAACGTGTGACCTTCATCTCTAAAATAAGTCGGATGTCCTGTAAGGAGTGGGTGCCTGTCGTTTTGGCTCTTCAGGAGATAGTGCTTGGCCAATCATCGCCTGAGGCTGGGCCTGAGGTAAAACACCACACCTATGAAAAGAACTAAGGAAAAATAGGCTAAGGTTTGTCTCAAGTGATAGAGCACCTGCCCAACAAGTATGAAGCTCTGAGTTTGAACCCTGGAATACTAAATGAATATAACTAAATAAATTAATTATGTACAATATCAATATATAAGTCCAAATATTCATGTTTTTAAGCTGTTCTTGCGAGCGTTGGCAAATGTCCACTGATCATAAATTTTGTAATTAATTTCACAATGCTTCTCCTTTCTTATAATTTGCAATTCTAATATAGATAGATTAGTTAACCAAGAAGCAGTGGCTAAAGCCTGTAATCTTAGCTAATTAGGAAGCTGAGATCTGAGGATGTCAGTTCAAAGCCACCCTAAGCAGGAAAGTTCATGAGGCTCTTATCTTCAATTAATTATCAAAAAGCCAGAAGTGGACCTGTGGGTCAAGTAATAGAGTACCAGCCATGAGCAAAAAATTCTCAGAGGCAGCACCCAGGCCCAAAGTTCAAGCCCAGGACTGCCACAGACAAACACACACACACACACACACACACACACACACACACACACTCACACACACAGAGAGAGAAGTAGGTGACTTTAATACCATACTCTCACCAATAAACTGGTTATACCAACAAAATATCAACAAGGGAAATTCTAAACTTCAGAATTAAAGGACACAAAATCAAACGAACTAACAAGTCTACAGAACGTTCTAACCAACAGTCAAAAGAATACATATTGTTCGTAGAAGCCTGAAAACCTTTCTCCAATATAGTGTACATCTTAGGATATAAAGCAAGCCTTCACAAACACATATACACATTGGTGTACGATAGACAGCTATGCATCCTATAAAGTGTGGCTGAGATTGGCCAATCTATAGAATCTGCCTGGGCGCCCACAAACTTAGAAGCAGCTACAGAAAATACACAGTGAAGTATTATTCCGGCATAAAGAAGAATGAAGCTATGCTATCTGCAGGAAAGTTAATGGAAGAACAGAAGATCATGTTGAGCAAAATAAGTCAGTCCCATAAAGACAAACGACACATTTTCACTCAGATGTGGAAGTAGAGCTCAAATAATACAGTAATAATCACTATTAAACACGGTTATAAAAGAGGAACTGACTGGAAGGAGCCAGCAGAATGGGTGAAGGAGAAAGCAGGGAGATGGAGGTGAATATAATTTAAAACAGCATAAAGAAGCCCACTAGAAACAGAAAGAAAGACAGAGGAACATGATTGTTAGATGTGTTTGTGACAGTGTCACAGTGGAAACCATGGTACCATCAGTTGACAGGCCTGAAAGGGAAAAATAGCCTTAAAAACAAAGTTCCCGACTTTCCTAAGAAAGTTGTACCACAGACATTTGTAATGATTTGATTCCAGTCTCGTGTTGCAAACTTCACAGAGTCTACCATTTGTAACAGAAAAAAAAAATTCTGGTTTACACAACTTTGTGTGGATCTTCTGCACCTTTTCCTGACTGTGTTTCAGCTCATTATCTGACCACTGTGCCAGGGCTACAGTTTCCCCATGTCTGTGCCAATAATTGCTATTCTTGTGTCTTGCTATTCTTGTCTTCCATAGTCTCTTGAACTTCACTAGGCTAACTTGAACACAGTGCTGAAAAGTGTGCAGTATTATAGGAAGCCTTCAGTGCAGAGGGTTTTATTTATTATTCATTTGTTGTGTGTGTGTGTGTGTGTGTGTGTGTGTGTGTGCTACTTCTTCAGAAGGTTTAACCATGGTATTCCACACATGCACATACAACCTTTCAATCATATTGATCACTTCCTTTTTCATTTTCCCATCACCTCTCCTCCTATTCAATAGTTTTCATGGCGTTTCATCCCGCTAACTTGATTTACAGATGTGATGTATTTCAGAGAATGTTTTTAAATTTTTAATTTTAGTGTCAGGGTACCGTACAGAGTGGTTACATAAGGTAGTGAGCACATTACTTGTCGACCTTGTTACCCCCTCCCTCATTTTCTCCCTCTTTCCCTCCCTGCTTTCCCCCAACGTGGCACAGCTGATTTCCAGCACACTGTCTCGTGTGTGTTGCTGTTGCATCAGACAACATTTTAAGCTAAAGTTCCCCAAGGAATATGGAAGCAATTCTTTCCAAACTTGCCCGTGTTACATACATATCTGGAAAGTTTCCAGCCCAGTCTCTGCTTCTCTCAGTATATATGCCATGGTGAATCCATTGTTGCTTACAGATTAATTTGTATTTTACTTCAGATTTGAGGCAGAATTTAAAGTAAGATTTATCTTCAGGGAAAGTCAGTTTCAAACTGCATTCTGAATGTAAGTACAACACAAACTTTTCTTACATCCACTTTTTATTACATCCACTGTTGAAATTTTTTTTAGGGTTTTAATTGTTTTTTGTTTTCCTGCCAATTCTGGGGCTTCATATCAGGGCCTGAGGGTTGACTTTTAGCATTTTTGCTCAAGGCTGGCACTCTACAGTTGAGCCACAGCTCCACTTTCAGCGTTTTGGAGGCTAACTAAAGATGAGTCTGGGCTGGTTTCAAACGGCAATCTCAGATCTCAGCATCCTGAGTAGCTAGGATTATATGAGTGGGCCACTGATACCCAGCAAATTTTAGTTTCTTTTTACAAATTATTTTTAG